TCACCCTGTTGGCTACAGCTGCGAGTGTGCACCTAGCCCGCCAGGGTTCGAGTCTTGGCTCACCCCTTGGTGCTCAGGTTGTTTCTTCTATAATAAAATAATTCCATCAAGAGCTAGGCCTAGTTGATTTTATTTTTTCCCACTCCACTAAGTAATGTGTATAAGAAGAGAAAAAGAAGACCACACACGCTTTTTCTAGCATGTCCTGACTTGGGCACAAGCCGGGGCTGGGGTGAAGGGAGCGGGCATGTGACATGTGCGTGGATGGTCCGTCGAAATTCAGTGCATGGTCTTGCAGGAGTATGATTTTCTTTTGCCATTATGTTTTATTTTTTGATTTCCTAGCAGAAAACTTGATTCTTTTCGTTACCCGTAAGTTGGAAACTAGGTCAGTTGAGATCGTGATCGCGAGGCGATGCCACACGGGTTCTTTTGTACATATGGAGAAACTCTTGAAATCAGCCGACTGATCACATCACAGACGTAAGCCGCGTCCCATGCTTGCCACATGTCCCGGTGACCCCGCGTACCACAGCTCCCTCCTGATCCTCATCCCAACCGGGGAAGCACTCACCACATTTGTTCTCATATATACCACGCGTTGAGCACTCCTCCACACCATATATCCGGGATCTGTCTTGTTCCTCCCTCTACCGATGCTAGATCTTTCTCTCTCCTTGCTCCATCTACTTCTCCGACGAATCGAATCAGCACGAGATAGTCGTGGTGAGACGTTGCATGGTTCTTTGAAGGAAATGTTGCAAGGACAACATGATGGGGGCGTGATGCAGTAGGGAGCCTGGCACCGGCTTTACAAGGCATCGGGTCCGCCGCTCGCAACAGCACTCATCGGTGTTGCAAGCGCAGAATCTCGTCGGGGTGCTGCAACCAGTAGCCAGTTTTATGACCGGCGGTCGTGGCAGGCACAATTACTGCAATCTAGTGTTGTTGGCGGCTGATGTCACCATGTCGCAATCGTAGAGCTCGCCGCAACCGGTGATAGGTGTTGCAACCACATAGCTCGTCAGTGCCTCAACCGCGACATATGCTGCAAAGGGGTGGTCGCAGTAGCTACCATTTTTGCAACCCGATGGGGGCGGCCGCGGTGATGCTTCGATAGCCATGGTGACAAGGCATGCTGCAACGACGTCGATGACCGTGGTGATGCTGCAATGCAAGCTTCAACGCCATGATGATGAGGCGTGCTATTGTGGCGATAGGGGCACCGCGTAATGCTGACATGCAACATGTGTGGTATCGCATCCCTACAAATCTCACGGGGTGATGGAATTGCGATGCAATGCGAGTGGTGTTGCAACCGACAGATCTCGCGAATGGCAAAATCTGAAATGCAACGCATGTGGTGATGTGCGCCAGCGGAGCTTTATTGGAATATACGAGGTGCTGTGACATGCAGATCTCACCGTCGGAGGAGCTGCGATGCAATGACCTATGGATGTCGCCAGCGGCAGAGCTGCAGTCTCATCAGCGTTGGAGCTGCAATGCACAAGACGGGAGGACGATGGTGCTAGCAAGGAGCGATAGAGTGATGTTGTGCTAGAGAGACGATCTGGTCAACTGCGCCATGTTGCAATCCATGTGCCACGTGTCAGATCTGACGGCAGTGGAGCCGACTGATTTTCCCTCAAAATCAGTCAACTGATGCCTAGCAGCCACCATATATATGACTTACCGGTCACACCAGAGATAGACCAAAACAAGGTTGGGTTTTGCTTCATCTCGCAAGTTGTGCCACATCAACCTCTCACCCTTGTGATCCTCCATTAGAGCATCTACAGCCGGGTGCCTCAAACCCTCCTCAAACGCCCGGGCGGGTCACCCGGTCACTGATCGGTCATGATTTTTTGATCCAGACGGATGCCTCAAACGCCTAGGCTGAGCGGTACCCCTCATATCCAGCCTAAATATGGGGTGGATATGGGGGCGCCCGGGCACGCTTGCCACGTCAGACTGGCAAAGGGGTCCCAGCCGAAAACGCCCTGACCCAACGATCCGAAGCTCGTCTCCTCCATCGGACCGGTGACGCCGCGTGGCGCAGCCCCGGTGGGCCGCGTAGTGCCTAGCCCAGCTATTTAAGTCGACCGGCGGCACCGAAACCCTACCATCCATCCATATTTTCCTCTTCCTGTCCGCCGCCGCCACCACTTTTCACTCCACCCGTCCACCTAGTAGCCATGCCCCCGCGCCACCGGGTGAGGAGCGAGCCCTTTCTAACGCCGGAGCGTCGGCTCGAGCTCCTTGGGAAGACCCGGGCTAGGCGTGAAGCTCGGATTGCCGCGGGGCTACCTCTGGATGCAGTTGATCCGGAGGAGGAGTTGGAGGAGGACGAGGAGGAAGAGGTTGAGAAGGAGGAAGATGAGCCGGAGGATGATGATGTGGGGGACGCTGGCGACGCGGATCTGCAGGCGGAGCAGCAGGCCATCCTTGATTCCCTTTGGTCGGAGTTGACTGCGGAGGCCAGACGCCGTCACCGGTAGGAGGTGGAGGCGTAGTAGGCTGTGGAGGTGGCGGAGATGCTCGCCTACCTGGATGAGGTCGAGCAGGAGGAGGATGAGCTGGAGCCCTCCTGCCCGCCCATCTAGCTGGCGCTCGGCACCGTCGTCGTGGACATCTCCGACGAGGAAGAGTAGTTAGGATAGTACGTAGTATGTAGTACGTAGAATTTCTTTTGCATGCTTTGCATGGATCTAAGGGTGAAATATGAGAGAGGCGAATGCAAGGTGGATAATTTGAGGCGTGACCGGTCATTGTCCGCGGACGCGCCCAATGAATTACGTTTTTGGGAAGCATTCCACGCGTATGCTCAACTTTATCACCACAGGTCGTCTTCCATCCAAGTCGGGCATCGTCGCATACCGATGTCTCCAACATTGTCTGCATCGTCCAGTCTTCTTGACATCCACAGTGTGCATTTTTGCTGCCTCTAAAACTTCCTCTTGGCCTTTAGAGGTTGCCTCTATACATTGCATGGAGCTTTCTCAAGAAAAGAAATTCTTGGCATCGCCTCCAAGTTAAGAGGCTGCCTCCAAGCTTTGGTTCCGACTAAAATATATGTCATCCCTTTTCTCGAGCCATCCAGTTGAAAAGTGAACGGCATGTCAACTTGATTAATGTTGTTTGAGGGCGCTCTAGAGGCTGCACTCAAATGTCATACACTACAGCGTTTTTGGTTAACCTTAGATGCAACAATGTTGACTCTAGCTTAGAGGCACCGCTGCCTCCAACCACTATGGAGTACTACTTGATCTCTACTATATAAGTAAAAAGGCTTAATGAATTGACGACATTAGCACTTGAAAATAATATATCGAAGTAGATTAATTACTAAGATATAACTAAAAACATTTCAAGAACTACTAAATAAATGATGTTTCAGCATACTATAAGTAAAGTTAGTGTTATACAAAAAACATTGTGAATATTTTTTTCTTACCTTCGGGCTCATTTTACGTATATCAATGAGGCCTCAAACTCCCGGATAAAGCTCTACAAAGGTGTTTTTTTGTGATTCATGAATCTGGGTGGTATTTCTATCATAGGTGTAGTGTGCTTTGTCGGTTTTACTCGGATACTGAGTTAAGTTGGGTGTAACTAAATCCGATGGCATCT